CGATCTGCGAGCAAGTGAGACCAAAATCTAGAGGCCTAAATAGTAAAACGAATGTTTGGGGCTTCAAATCAAGATTCCATAGCTTAGGAGATGTTAACCTCGCGTGTGGCTTGTCACGCTTGGGGTTTAAGGTTTCTACTGTGCGGGCTTTGTATGGTTTAGGATTTTGAGGTTCGTGGGTAGTTGTGCATAGGGCTGTTTCTAGGATAGGTAAATACTATCTTGGCTGTGGGGCTTTTACCAGTGACCTTCAGAGAAGGGGAAAGAACATGGAATGGCGTTCCGGGCAAGGTTTTACTGCGGTATCAGCCCATAAGAAATGAGGCGTTGCAAATGCGAAGCCATATCCCTAAAGCTCTCATGTTATGCCGGGCAACATGTTTCAAGGGCTGGATGAGATGGCAATGTTTCAGTCGTGTTGTACTGCAGTGACTACAGCCGTGGCGTCTGCATTTTGTGTGGAGCAGAACTATCCATCCCCCACGCTGGCAGCTAGAATTTGCTTGAATTGCTGTCCTGCCGCAATGGGGGATATTCATACATTGACGCGTGATGGTAGGCCATATCTGGAGGGTACTTCCAGTGCATTGGATGAAAGAATCGGCTTGAATCGCGCATGAAGCAGGATGCCTCATGTTGCCCTGTTCATGTGAGTCTTCATGCATTCTGTCTGTGTACAGTCAACCCTCTTGTCCATTTCTCTCCTAATCAACTCAGCTGCAAAACAACACGCTCAATGCTGCGTCTTGAGCCCTAACCCGAAGCCCCAATCCCTTAACTCCAGGTAACCCGAAATCTGAGCCCCTACTCTTTGAACTTTTCAATAAAACCCTAGCTGGGCCCTGAGTGTCCTGATCTTTCCGGGGCTTTATCCAAAGTTTGTCAAAGCCAAATCATATTCCAAGAAAAGCTTAGGACATCCAACCCTAAACCCTAAACCCTAAATCCCTAAATCCCCTAAACCCTAAATCCCTAAACCCTCAATCCCTAAACCCAAGGTCCAGGGAAACCTTCCCTGCCTTGGAGGACTTCCGCCGTCTCCTCGAACTCACCTGCTTTGCGTTGCAGCTCAGCCAGGTAGCTACGAGACGCCTGGCCACAGGCTAGAGTTATAGTCCCCCTTAAGTAGATAGAATGTGGTTTTATAGAGGTTATATAGGGATAGTGGAAAAGAAAATGGAAACTACCATATTACATCAGTGTATATATATATATATATTGGAGATTATCGTCCCCCTTGAGTAGATAGAATGTGGGGTATATGGGGATCTTATTCTAAAATACCCATATACCCCATATTCTATCTACTTAAGGGGGACTATAACTTTATAGGGGCTTATGGGTCTCTAAAGTGGTGATAGATTATATGGGGATTATATACTGGGTAATATTCTAGGGACAAAGGAAAATGGAACAAACTATAATATGATCTGCTTACAGGGGTTATATGTATGAGGATGATATAGGGGCCATACAGAAGTGGGTGTAAAAGGGGGTTATGCGGGGCAATTTTGCTGGGAAGAACTCATGGGGACCACTATCTAAATGTCTACTCTTCTATTTTATACTTGCCGCTAATGTACCGTTTATGGCTTTAGGGGCCTATGCGTTAGGGATGAGGAGTTAAGGTTCAGGTGTGGGGGTTCCGGAAGTGGCCAAGTCAACGATATATTCTGGGGCACAATCAGCTACATACCAGAACCGAGTGTAAAGGCTTGCACCTTGCTGTTGGCCGTCTTCTTGTTTTCATGCTTTCATTGATATGGGGGACTGTTAATTTTTTTTTCCCTTTTTGGGTCCCTATTATAATACGGGGACCTACTACGGGGCCTAATTTAGGGGACCCAAAAAGGGACCATAATTTGACAATCTCCCATATGACTTCAACTTTCACACAGTGCTTCGCGGCCCTCACCCTCACCAAGCACTGTAAAGCTCAAGAAATTCCCAGAAATCTGAACCTTGAACCTCACGAAGCACTGTAGCTCTCCAAACAGAAGCTGCAAAATTCTGGTGCCTATGGAGCTATCAAGGACCAGGCACCAAAAACCGTTGTTTTTTTGAGGATTATAGTGGCCCTCAGCCCCACCAAGCACTGCAATGCTCAAAATTTCAGAAGTCCCGACATGTTCGTGTCCTTTTAAACTTCCTAGCGATGGATCGCAGATTTTTTGAGAGTGTGGGCACGCTTTTGAGCATTACCGTGTTTGGTAAGCTTCGGAATTTGGACTTTTGGGATTTTTCTATTCCGGCCCAAACTTGAAAGGTTCACCGTGTTTGCTTGAGAGTGGCTTCGGGTTCATGAAGACCCCAAGTTGTTTTAAGCCCATTCAAGGTGCGGATGTCTTCGGTAGAGCTTGGGACCTTTCCAAGATGTGGGAGAAGAATTCTACGACCTTCTGCGTGCACATCGCAACAAACTTTAGGACCCCAACATTCCGGAGTTGTCAAACTTTGGCTGGTGAAGACATCTCACTCAACGTCATGGCCTCTGCGAGTGAAGACGCGGCCAATGCCTGAGACGGGAAGAAGCTCACCCCCCCCAAGGAGGAGCAATGTCGCAGACTTGGGGTGAGTTGCCCGAGTTGATGATAAACTCTTGCAGGCAAGTCCTTATGTATTGTTCGAAATTGGGTATTGGGTGCATCTGCTCGAGAAGAGCCTGGTCATCCTCCTCCAGATCACCAGTGTAGCCCTCATACTGAAGTTTCAGAATCCACGGCCAGGAACAATTCAGCGCCTGCCTGTAAACCTTAAACCCAAACCCTAAACCCTGTAGTAGCTTCCATTTCATTTTCCATGATCCCCCCAATTTGAAATACACCACCCACTCCGGGCCCTTATCTGGCCTGGCGGTTCCATGTGTAGCCCAAGCTAGGGTTACTATGGCAAAGTTGTGTTCTTTGCACGGTTTCTAAGCGTCCCAGTCATCTCCCCCTAAACCCAACAACTAAGCATGACAAAATCCAAGTGTATGAATCGTACCTACTTTGGGCCTAAATATTATCTACTTTGGGCTATTTGGACCCCAAGGGCCCCTAAACCCTAAACCGCACTTGTCGACCAGCTGCTGCGGCTGCGGGCTGTGACACAGCGGCTACGGCCTGAAGTATGCGAAGATTGTCCGGAACCTGGAGACTCTTCGCTGGGCTCTTATGTTGCAGTATATGAGCTAGTAGTCGTCTAAACTCCAAGTATCCATGAGACTCCCCCATATAATCCCTTTAAGGAGTTTAGACTTGTATCTCATCTAGGGGGTGCACAGGGACTTTGAGCGTTGCCTCTTCAACTTTGTTTTTCCGGTTTGGGCCTTGCACTAGTGGAGATGATACCCCTGCGGCATTCAGACGGGCATGAACTTTGACAGAAGGCTCTGCTAGGAAACAAGGAAATCCTAATGCTTGCGTAAGCGGGGTTTGTCAGTGCTTAGATTATTGTGGTGTCCATGGTATTTTCCATTATCCCTATATATTGGGTTTAATAGGGGTTATATAGGGATAATGGAAAGAAAATGGAAACTATGAGCTTAGGATCTATGGGGTCGCGCTCATAGGATGAGATCTTGAGACATTGCGCTTTGGGTACAGTGCTGCTTGAAGGCCAGGGCGATCTACAGGTGCTGGTTTTTCAGGGGCATAAACATGCAAGCAGAAGATGCACCGTACACGCACATATGGATCCACGTCTCCAGTCTCTATATTCACAACCACTGGAAATGATGGATTTAGGCTGACGAAGCCCTGAACCGTAAACCTTAAATCATACAGTATAGTTGACGCTTTTACCCGCTTGATTTTCCACTTGATTTGCTCGGGAAAATAGCTTCCATCTCATTGTCTATTTTCTCTTCCCTTTTGCTCTCTGATGCTGGGCTTTTTATCTCCATGGTACAGTAGCCTCACATAACAATACTAGGCCTACATAACCCTATCGAATTCCCTGGTTATGCCTTCTTGCTTACCTCTGCCTGAGCCTCCCGCATTTTCTGTAAGGCTCTCAGCTGGAACTTCTGGGAGAGCTGCTGCCTTCGCAGAAACTAAAAACGGGGGGGTGGTTGGGAGATATAGGGATATACACATACATATATACACACATATAGGTAGCATGCATACATACATGGCTGTGTATGTACATACATATATATATATATATATGTGGATATATGCATATATACGTGGACATATATATATATATGTATATATATATATAAATGGATATGCAGGGACATGTAGGGATACGTAGGGGCCTACAGGGAGATGTAGGGATGTCTAGCAAAATCCAGGCTAAATCAGGGTCTAGCCACCATCATCACAAGAATAAATACTTAAAGACCCTAGTTTCTGCGCAATACTAGCAAACAATGCTGCTACTGGTCTCAGCAGCAACGCAAGAACAACAGAAACTGAACCTGCATTTCCGGTAGTCCTGTTGCAGACAGTACATCCACAAGCAGGAAAATCGAAATATCCCGCTCAGGAGCAGATCATACTAGTACACCATATTATGCTGGTCCTCACACCGTATCATGCAAGAATCAGATAAGGACTGGAAAGCCACAGATTGCAACTAAAGAGGCTGGGACCTCTGGTATCTTGGCTCCAAGACGGCGAAGGATGTCCTTTACTGCCCAGTGGCCAGGGCATAAAAAGGCTATGAGCAACTTTCAGCCTAGTAGTAAGGGCAACTCCCAAAGTTATATCTGAAATTTAGGAGTCCCCTTCTGGCGGGTGTCATAATGATGGGGGAGGGGTGTCATAATGATGATATGGATCCTATCGACAAAACCAAATGTCTTTCTGCTTGGCAGGTCAGTGGCATTCTGGATGTCGGCACGGTCCAGGGACAGAGTAAGACTTAGAGCAGCTTCTCGAAGGCGCAGCTCCAAACGAGCACCTAAAAACCCCCGTTGCCAGGTAGCAAAAACATGAGGAGCCTGTTTGTTGTGCATTTAATCAATGACATAAAAGAATATGTGTATAGCCCCTGCAACCTCCTGATAGTTAGAGGGCATAGACTCGAAATAGGCCGGTCGAGGCGCCACAGCGCAGCATTTGATTAGCAGCTCGCTTTGCTTGCTGCTCTTTGGTGGACAGGATTCGCCGGCATTCGGTCTTAGCATCCGCAGATGACCCCGAAGCCATTCCCGAGTAGGCTGCGAAGTGGGAGCACAACCTCAACGTCAAGAAAGAGGGGGAACCAATACTTCAACCTCACACCCTGAACCTTTCCAAACGTCTGTTGGACCAATCTTCCAAAATCAACTGCGAAAATACAGCTTGAAAAGTTGCCGGTGAAGAGGAAAGCAACTTGATGAGCTTCTCGACGCCTCGTGCTTCTCCCGTAATCTCCAAAGGGCCGCCATTGGCTTCGCACAGGTCGTGCGAGGCTTGCATGTAAATCGCACGCTCCTTGCGTCAGGGGAACAGCTATACAAACAAGACTCATCGAGAACGCATGCATGTTCCACATCGCAGTCCTCCTCTGATGGGCGCTTAATGATCCTAATGTAACCTGTGGTCGTGGTGAGGAGACGAACCACTTGAAAATTCAAGGACGGCACGTACTGGAGGACCTAGTTCTGGGAATTGCCAAGAGTATCTTGGGTTGCTGTGAGGGAACTGAATTCATCTTACTATATTCTGGAAACAATATGTAATTACTATATGTACCCAATATGGTAGCTTAATCTAAATTCCATAACAGCAACCCTAGACCCCTAGGCATATTCTTTGACAGCAACCCAGTGTCTCCCTGTCTCCAAAAATTGTTTGAACCTTGCGCACCTCTCAAGGCACACCGCTCTGGGTGGTAGCCATGCTTCAGCCAGGAACTAGGGGGATCATTCGGTCTATAGGGTTTTAAGGTGTAGGGATTTAGGGGTGTAGGGTCCAGGGATTTAGGGGTTTAGGTAGGGTTTAGGTTCCTCGCAAAACTTGATGCAACTTCCTCTAAGACAACCATTTAAGCCCTCTACCAAGTGCGCCTTCTCACATGAAGTACTTCATGGCGCATGAAAAAAATGCCTCAAATCCTCCGATCAAACCCTATGCCCTATGCAGAAGCATAGTGCGCCGTCTCAGACTACACTGCCATCTTGCTCCAGAAGCTCCTCTGGCGTCTGCTCAATGACAACAATCTGCTCTTTGAGTGGGACGACTTCAAGCTCCTGATCGTGACTTCCCATAAAAAAAAAACACACACACACACACAGGTAGCAGAAACTCGGGCTGGGTCAATGGAGTAGGTCTCCTGCGCAGGACTGTCCGCTTAGGGAATTACTGTATGGCGCATGCAAGGGGTGCAAATGCAGTTAACCTGACCAATGATGACTGGAACAGTTTAGGCCAGCATTGATCAAAATTCGGCGCAGGCCGTTTGCATCCCCTTGAGTCAATCAAGCTCCTCGCTGGTGTTCTGTCTGGCGAACCGATCCAAGAAGCTCTGGGCCATTTCCTGTGCCAGCTGTACCTGGGCTGCCGCACCAACACCTATCTGCTGGCTTCACAGCTTCATCTTCATCTTTATTCTCTGGTCTTTTACCATGCAGCGTTTCCCCAGGAACAGGAACAACCCAACTGATTGTTTCATTCGCAAGCCTTTGCTGAGCTGGCTGGCCATGCATACGGAGTATACCCGTCCTCAAACAATCATACAGATTTCCGGGACCGTACCTTTAAGGCCTGAAGTCGGACTCAGAGAAACCCAATATGTATCCCAAGTCGCAACCTATCAACCAGACAGAAGAAGGTTTATGGTCACTCTAAATGGGCAGCCAAGATAAACGCACTCCAATTTTTAAGGAACCTTAACTGCACTCACCAGGGCCCATCCTAAAAACCTAAAAGCTATACTTTACGTGACTGCCCTGAACCCGAGACCCAAAAGCTTTGCGCCCGATAACCCTAAACCACCAAACCCTGCAAACCCTATAAAGCACAAAACCCCCAAACCTTAATGGATCCCCGAAACCCCTAAACCCTCAACCAAGGCGCCTCATAGTCACAGCTGTCCCTGGAGGGCAAGCCAGGCAGTTGAAAAAGCTTTGCCAATGTCGCCACTTGCGACAAGTCTCGGGTGGGAGGTGTCCCTGTCAGACCCCACCTGGTGTAGGAGAGTTATGTAGGGATCATATGGACGTTGTAAAGGGTTGAAGCGGGCTTATACAGTGTTCTACAGGGGTTGTATGGGGGGTTATGTAGGATTCAAGAAATTGGTCCTCTAGGGTCATATACAGGTTATGTAGAGGTTGTAGAGGAGCTACATGGGATTTTGGGTTGAGGGACAGTCACAACTGGGTTCATACTTAGGCAGGTGGCTATGCGGCTATGATCAACATCCTATGTGTTAACCACCCCATGGACATCCCAGCAACAATTTCAAATCTGAGGACGCTTGGTCTACCATCCACATGCCTGAATTCTATCTTCCTGGGGCCACGAGATACTGTAAAAGCTCTCTTTCTTAACTACCAGATTAATTTTACGGCTCATGACAGACACCGAGATATTCAAGTTTGTTTCTGTTGAAGGTAGGCTACCTGCATCCAGCACAGATGCACTGCAGGGAGTCAAACTGCGCCGTGTCGCCGATTGCCTCACAAACGTCAGAAGTAGACCAGCGCTGCATGGACAGCTAAGAAGCTCCTGTACGATTTATTTGAAAGGCACCTTCTCTGGCTGTAGCAACCAGTTAAGAGGCCTGTTGCCAGGAGATAAAATGACAACCCACTGGGCGCTTTCGCGTTTGGCCTCCAATTCATGGAACTCATCGAACACGATCCTTTTCCACCAGACTTGCTCCAGGACAGGGAAGCGGAGCAGGCTAGGCGAGGCCTCAGGTCTTTTCTATAAGGCGGTTGCAAAAATTGGGGGTCCCTTCTGGGTGAACCCTACAATAAGGATGAACAAAAAGGAAGCCATATGCCTCTAACCCGAAGGAGGAAGCCCTGAACTAGACCTATACCTGAAGCTACAAACATGCATAAACTCATGATCTGAAAATATCTGCCTTCATCCGACAAATCACCCCAAACCCTGAAAGGCTTGGCTGGCGGCTGCGTCAGTCTGATCCAACCACCCCAGCTCAGCTGGAGTCTCACCTGGGGGGCATCTCACGATTAAAGACCAGCTGAGCTATAGTCTAAACTCCTAGTATCCCCCTTAATAACCTCTGTAGTAGTCCCCCATATAATCCCGCATATGAGCCCCTTTAAGGAGTTTAGACTATAGCTCATCTAATGAGAATCAGCGGCATTTGCCATTTGCGCGGTGCAACGGCTAGGTAGGCACATGATTAACGTCCAGTGTCATGTGAGATAATCAGCAATGACAAGACACAATAGGCCAGTACCCCAACAAAACTTGGGAATCTCCCAAGTGTTCTTATAAACACAGTCAGGTGAAAGCACGGTCCGCGGTAAGAATGAAAACGCTAGCTACAGAGATCAGGTAGCATCCCCGTCGTGCAAAGGGAAAACCATCGAGTCTATAAACAGGCTAATACATGGTAATACATTCAGATTAGGGCGGGCATGAGGGGCAGGGTTGAGATGTTCAGTGTTGCGGATCCTGGCTGAGAAGACATTCCTTAAGACGACCCGTGCTGGTAGTCTGCTCTATGCAAGGCCTAGTAGCAAACATTCCCAAAACAGCGCAAGTACCGATATATATATATATAGATATATCTATACATAAACTATCTAGCACAAAATTTCAGGCCTGCTTTGCACCTGTCTGACCTTGCATTCTGGGGCTTGTGCTTATGCCTTGTGAATGCAAATTAGCCGTCTCCCGCAACCTCCCAAGCAGTTCTTGCTGGGTTTGAGGTGGCAATGGTGTCTCTGAGGGATTGTTGCTGTATATAACTCTAGGATGCTGTAAGGCCAGTGGGATGCAAGTCCCCGATTTCAAGGGCCATAGTGATGAGTACTGCTCCCCGTGGATGGCAAAGCATAAGATTGATGCGCAAAAGCCTGTCACCTTAAGTCTTTAAGTATACTACCACAGTCACCAGGGTTGAGGTACAACTCGCGCAAGGTCATGCAACAATTTGTCGATGGCAAGTACCAACACTAAACCCTGAAAGCCCTGAGCCCTACGTAGGCACTTGGGCACTAAGGCCATAACAATTCCCTGTAACGTATTTGGCAACGGATTATGTGGAGGAAACCTTCCCCTCACATCGGGCTGTCGCGGCCTGTGGTTGCATACCTTTGCCACAAAGGCTTGGTACACGTATGGCCCGTGAAAGCACTTTGTCAAACAAGATTGCAAGCTGGGCAAACTTGTTACCGGCTATGACGCGGAATGGCCACCCAATCCATCCACAACCCAAGTGTTGTCACTTCACAGCCGCATACAGATACACACATCTACATGTATGTATGAGTAGGGTACTGTAATAACTACTGTAAAGCCCCCAATTTCAAGACCTGTACTGAACTTGACTACCAACAACTGGCCGGTCGCGGAAGCGCTTCGTGTTCCGTCGCAGGGCTTGGATGTCCACCGTCATTCGGGCCGCCTCTCTGGATTGACAATCAAGCAATGGAATATAATAGCAACTAGTTCCGGGAAAAGCAATGGTTATGGTAGTAACAGTAATGATCGTGGAAGAAGTAAAGGCATTGGAAGCAGTACCTGGTAAAAGCTAGCAAGCTCGTATGGGGCTCACGAGCTGGGACAACAAATAGCATGCAGGGTCCCAAGCCTGGGAGTTTCCGGGTTCTGTTCTGGCAAGTATGAATAGAAGGTTCAACTTCTCGACTCCGACGTATGAACCTAAGCCCGAAACAAGCCTAAGCACCCAAAGCCCTATACCCCAAAACTTTTCTGCATCTGGGAATCCTAAAACCTAAACCCTAAATGCCTGACCCCCAAACACGAACCAGGCCTCACTAGCGGAGACTTGTGAGAAGTTGCCGGAGAGCCTAAAGCTTGGCAGAGTTCTGGCAATTGTGGGGCCCAGGCTTGAATTGTGAATGGTTGTTCTATGAGCTTTTGTCTAAACTTCGAGTATCCCCCTTAATAACCCCGGTAATACTCCCTCGCTCATGACAATAAATCGTTTTGAGTTGATTGTCCGGTCACAGCATAAGAAGGGAATCCTCAGATCATGACAGCTTTCCACTGGGGCATGTTGGGATCAAGTACTGTCATGTAGAGCTCACGCCGCGCACCTGAGGTTCAAAGGACAGGCAGCTACAACAGGTCAGCCAAGAGACTCTTGTAGACGACGTCGGTAGACCGGCGAATACAGCAAACGGTACGTGACGACAACAATGTCCTTGGCAGGCGTTGTGTTTTTTGGGAACAAATAAAGGGAGGGGGTTGTGCGAAAGGAGGACTATGTAGGGCCTGTAGGGACTGCAATACCTATCCACTCACCTGGCGCCTGCTTAGCCAGACGTAACGCACGGCAGTGTAGACTACAGTGGCGGTTCACGGTTCTGAAGCACCTCTTCAGCATGTTTGGGAGGGTCCTGGATCTGAAGGCTTTGCAGGAAACATTTTTAAACCACAAATCTCAAGATAACTCACCCGAAACCACCCAAGTCAGGGCTCAGAAGTAGGGTAGAGCGTTTGTTAAACCGCTCCGGTTCCTGAAGCCTTGGTGATCCTTTTCTTGGGGTGCCCATGAAGGTGTCCGCATGGCTGCTAACATGAAATCTCTGAACCCTTCGAACTCACGGAGCCCATCCTCCGAAACCAAGAATTAAAGCCTACACCACGTCGTCACTCCAGCGTGTGGTCAACCCTTAACGCCCAAATCAGCAGGGCTCCAAAGGCAATGAGACAAACAAACTTTATTACATATGAAAAATACCTTGCTAAGATCGGCTACCTCAGACCCCTACTTAGTAGCAGTGAGCCCACCCCCGCCAGTATCAGCATGGGCACCGCTTTGCTGATCTTATCCACTGTAAGCGCTTTCAACTGTGTGGCGGTGCCAATCTCCAGCACCTGTGATTCTGGTAACCCAGCCACGTGCTGTTTCCAGAGGCGTTGTCTAAGGGTCTGGGGTACAATACTCTCCTCTTTTGGCCGCCTGTGCAGCGCCGGCTCAATGCCAATCTCACCGCTGTTGGGTCAGGTTTCTTATCTTAGCATCTGTCGCTGCCTTCTATTTCTTTGCCCTGGCGCACTTTTCAACTTGCTTCCACCCTCCTTGCGCGAGCAGGTTTAGATCCATGCGCTACCTGGTGCTTGCGCTGGTGCTTGGTAGGCAATTGGGGCAATGTTCTTGGGGCGCTTGAAGGGGATTCTGTGGACTACATTAATCCCGCAGGTATTGCTAAGGGATCTTTCCTTTCCAGGGGAATGTCACATTGTCGAAGAGCAGCACCAGGGCATGAGGCATTTCTGGGTCACATGGACAAAAATGGAGACTACAACTAAGCATTTAGGTTTAGGGAATAGCAAGAAGGGGAAACTACAAAGGAGGGAAGGAGGATTTGTGCTAACTTGCCGTACGCCCCGCATGTCGTGGCATGACCCTGGAACAGACAAGTGCCCCTGCAGCAAGCCTTCAAACCCAAAATGACGAACATCGAAAGTGACACCGCATCAGACTGTGGTCTATTGGGTATAGTAAGGTCTACAAGAGTGTGAGGTAGTATCAATCGCAAACGGGGAAATTCAATTTCAGGTTCGAAGCTTCTCCTACTGCCCAGCAGCCTTGTACATTACGATAACCCAGACGCCCTAAAGGATCCAAAAATGGAACCCCCTAATAATCCCCTAGTTTCCTCAATGTGGTAGTGGGTTCATAATGGAGGGGTTCCATTTTGGATCCTTCAGGGTGTCTGGGATGAAAGCCGCCAATATGTTCAACTAGAGCCTTGGGGCAGGAAAGACGAGCCTTGAGGCCAGCAGCCGCCCCATCTGCTCCATGGCCACCCGTGAATTTCTGAATTTCCTGAGCGTAAAGCAGCGCCAACGCTCGGTCAAAGGATCACAACCTATAAGGTCCACCCATCAGACAAGAGACATGCCTGAAATGAGGACAGGCAAGAGGCCGGGCCCGCGATCTTTAGACGGCATGTGGGAATTTCCTGTGAGAATGCGTGTTCCCCGAAAACCCATCGTCCGAGCAACATCCACCCACTGCTTGAGCAAATTCGAGGGTGCCAGTACCTGGGATGTAAAAGCGGTTCCAACTGTGTTGGGGGATCTGCGCATTCGGGCTCCTGACCGCTTTGTGGCCCAAACCATCAGGTCCATGCATTCTAAGCCTTCATGACATAAATTCCTCGAGGCCCGCAACCCTCAAGCCCAGAGCCTAAAGCACGAGCTATTCAGACAGCTGTGTTTCTGAGCATGACAAAGATCTCAGCCTGACATCCCTGAACAACCCCCAAGCAGTATGGACGTTGCAAATTGAATAACTACTGCCAATCCCTACAAACATGTTCACGAAGCCAAGGCTGCTCAACTGCTGTGAAAGATGCTTGTCATAATCTCGGAGAATAAGCTGGTGCTTCAAACGGTGGAGGCGAGTAACTTATATCACCGGAGCTCATTAAACTCCTTCCGAAACATTTTTTTGCTCTTCACTAGATAGTAGTTTCCATTGTCTTTTCCATCATCCCTAAATAACCCCAATATATACCCTACTATAATACAGTAGTTTCCATTTTCTGTTCCATTATCCCTACATAACCCCCATATATCCCCAATATAATCCCTGTAACCCCGGTCGTTCTTCAAATCCTGCCGCGGCAGCCGCCCCCTGATGTTTTCCTTTTTAGGGAGTGATTGCTGGGCATTTTTGGAAAGACATTTCTTGCTTGCAGCTGCAGCCTCTTGACAGCAAAACCGCATCAAGCAGCTTGTAAACCCTACTGCTGCCGAAGCTTTCACACATGTGGATTGACGCTCATTTGCAATGCCCATTCAGGATCCCAGAACGGACCTGTGATGTTCAGCGGGCGCGAAGCTGAATACCTCAACCCTAGGCAACAACCAAACATCAACCACATTTTGCGAAATTCCCGCATGTGCAGCGGGGCTGCCAGGGTCGCTCCTGACTTGAAGAAGTAGGGGTCGCTCTCCTGTAGATTGAGGTTATATAGGGGATAATGGAAAAGAAAATGGGAACAGCTCATGGGGATTATTAAAGCCCCCATTATCGTAGTTTCAATTTTCTTTTCCAATATCCCCTATATAACCCATTAAATACGGGCTGCATATGGCCAGAGAAGTGGGGCTTGAGTCAAAGGTTGGAGCGCGCAGGTTCCAGCTTTAGGCATCAGGGCCCCGAACCCATGGGCTTGGAATGGCGTTAGGTTTGAAGCTCTGGGGCTCAGATTCCAAAACCTTTGGAGTTGGTTGGAGCTTCGCATTCTCAGGTAGAAGGTTTACGCTTGGGGCCCGGACTCTAGGGTAGAAGGTTTAAGGCTTTGGGCCCGAACCCCTGGGTTTGGCCCTGGTCAGGCTTGCGGTATAGGTTTGGGGCTCCCTTGAAAAGACGGTAGGGACCCTTCACAACCCGCATGGACTATATCACTGCATATACAGAGCCGCATGAATTCATGTCTTCCTTCCCTGAACAGTCATCCTTCCCCCCTGTAATAAACGTCTCCCCTCCCTCTCCGACGTAAAGCCCACTCCGGTTTTTTCGTATTGGGGGGAGTAAATCCAATTAAAAACCAAATGAAAACCTAAAACCTACTCAACATCTCATCAAAATTGAATAAGAACCGGATCGATGGAACATCCATTTAAATCTCATTAAATGCAGCTTAAATCTAGTTAGTATCCATTGAAACCTAACCAAGATCAAATTACAGTCGAGGTAAATGCGCAATAAAATGAATTGAAGTCGCCTTCAGACTTTACGTTAAAAAACACATGATATCAAAGGATCGCTACTTCGTTTGGATTCGCTACTTTAACCCCCTCATAACGTCAGAACACTCCTGTTCATCATTGTGGGAAGTTTTTGATGAACAAAATGGTAAGCGCGGCCTAGATTGATAGATGACGATGTATTTTCTTGACACCTAGGAAGTTCGCGTCACATTCCGGAGGCTGATCGATTCTTTGTGTAGGTTATGGTCACTGACGACGAAGCCGGAGATTGAGCATCCCAGGTTTAGGGGCGTGAGATCCGTGGAAAAACGCCTTGGCTGTCTAATTATAGCAGTTTCGACTGTCTTTTCCATTATCGTCATCTAATTATAGCAGTTTCCATTCTTTTCCATCATCCCCAAGAGCCCCAATATAGCCCCAATGTTGATCTCTTGCTCAAGCTCCAAGGTCCGCATCAGCAACAACAGCAGGGATGGGCCTTCGGGGTCTATGGGCGGTCACCAACCACATGACATCAACTCCAGCCCAGTCTCTGAGGGGATGTGGAGCTCGCTGTCATGGGCCCCAGCATCAATCAAGCCAATTGTCGTTGCAGTCTTGCCATACCCAGGAGCATCTCCTAAAATGCCACCTGAGCAAGGGCAGTATCGGAAGGGCTGGTCTCAAAGAAGGGAATGGCTTGTACGACTTCTTCTGTCCTGCACCAAACTCAGGATGGCAGGAATGTTTTCGGGAACTTTAAACGAAAGCTTATGAGCGATTTCCTTGTGATGTTTCGGTTAAAAATTAGACCAGCAAGGTGTCCTCAGCCGAGCTACTTCTCAGATTTGGTTGTGTGCAAGTGTCGAGCCCAAAGCAAAACCTCTGTTCAGGCTTCAACAGGACAAGAGGCTCATGTGAAAGGTTCTTGATGGTGGAGATATAGTTTAAGGAAGCCGTCCAACCTGGATCCCAGACAAAGCTAAGATGAACCTAAAGCGACCTTCTGCTTGGGCTGCAATGCCTCAACTATGAACCCGTGTATGCAGAAATATACAAGGCGCTACACGAAAGTCTTCTGAGCGGTGGTCTTCTTGCCATCAAGGACCATAACATGGTAGCTTCAGCAGAAGGGGAGACCCTAATGTAGAACCCAATATACTATAGTCCTGGTTATGAAATTATAATACACAGGACTTCCAAACAAGACTCATAATTTGTTGGCACTAATGGATAATGGAAACAGACTTGGAGAAATCCCCTGCTGTACCATTGGACGGTCCTTACAGTACCATATGCCCTCTATACAACCTACCTACATACATACCTACATACATGCAACAGCACGTACGAAGACACATCCCTACGCAGGTTCATACATGCCTGCACACGCACATGTGCACATGCATATGTACATGCCCGGCACTTGTCTCTAAGCCATATACACACCTTGGACAACTAAACCCTAAACAGTAGCCTCTAGCTTCGATTTTGTTTTTTCCGTTATCCCTATAATATGACCCTATATAACCCCTTGATGGCTACAAACTTCCCAATTCCTCTGAGCTTGTGGCCTCGCAGCGTAAAAGACTGCCTCTGCCGAAGCTCCAGCTGCCAGCCCAGCCTCGGCTTTAGGGTGCTGGGTTTGATAATCTACGGGTTGTGTGAGAGGTTATAGTTCAACGGTTTCTGTGTTGCTTTTGCTGTGTTCGGTTCAGAGGTTTAGGGTTTATAGGGTTAGAGTTCCGTACGTTCAGGGTTCATGGGCACGGGCTTACAGTTTTACAGGTTAAGGGTTTGTGCCTTCAGGACTCACTGGTGCGATTTAAGCCTCATAGACGAAAGGTCTGCAGGTCTAGGGCTTGAGCGTTGAGGACTTGTAGTTTGGGGGGCTTGCTGGTTGAGGGCTTAGGACAAAGTTCTACAGCGCTGGGGTTTCAGGTTGAAAAGTTTCTGGGGTTCACTATACTGACCTCGAAAATGCACAGCCTCTCCTTCCATGTACGCACTTGAGGGAAAGCAGCGGGGCATCAGCCCTAGACTAGGGAAGGCAATCTCCAAAAAAATCGGACCCCATTGCCTTCTTAGTCGACAGCCTACACACCGACAAGCCCAGTTCCATATCAAGACCACCCGGCAAAGCCCGAAATCTCAGCAACGCTAGTCTCCAAACGCGAGTTCCTAAACTCTAGCGCGTCCGTCCCGAAACCCAACAAAGACCACTGAACTGAAACAGTTATACAATACATCAAATGTACCTTAAACTCATTCCATCACTACCAAGGTAACCTTATAATATGATTATTAATAATATTAGTATTATTATTAATATTATTAATAATAATATTATAAATATTCATATTATTGCTATAGACCAAGAAGCCGGGTTGATGCTTTGCACTGAATGCTAGCTGCCGGGAGAGCATCATCCTTCGGGCTTTCTTGTTCGAATTAGGGTTTAGGGTTTAGGGTTTCATCTGGGAAAAAGGTGCCCTCGGAGTAACATAGGAGCCTGTGTCTGGCATATCTACGCTTCAGGCTGGGTGGCAATTAGATTGAACTTTTCTGGGTTTTTGTGGAGCTTTGGTCTGCAACAGGGCCAGAGAGAAATTCGTGCAAGTGGCAGCTTGCAGTCTTGAGCCTTTCTAGATGGGGGTTTCCAAAAATTAGAGGTACCTTAGGTACCTGTAAAGGTTGCCTAGAGGTTCTATGGTGTTATATAGGGGATAAAGAGGGGTTACTTAGTAGGGTTTAGGGTTTCCCAAAATTAGGGGTACCTTTTTGGGTATAATTAGGAATATAGTATTTAGGGGTCGATATTGGGCTACCCTAGTTTTGGGAGATTACCACATGGCGACAGCAAGACTCAAACTCAGGTGGCAGAAGTTCACAGTTGCGGGGAAGCTTGTTTTCCCAACTTTAGGCCACCCTGTACTTAAAAGGCTCCATTTGATTTTCCATGTTCGTTTCCATGTGATTCTCCATTATGTCATGGGTTCCCTGGTTCCCCCTCAATTAACCTATTGTGCAGAGGGGGGGTAGTAGGGGAACCCTTGCTTATGGGGTTATACTTACCCTGTATGCTCGACCCTAAGCCCGTACGTGTCACAAATTCTGCAGCCGAGGCGGCTGAGTTTAGAGGGTCCACCCTCACCCGGTGCAAGGTGAGGTCAAAGAGCTCCACTTCGCTTTCGCGCTGCTGCATCCAGTATAGAGACCTGTATCTCTTGGCCACGAGGCCCAGAGTATGCACATGAGAGTCGTGAGACTTCCTCCCCTCAGAATATGCTATTCTTAATAGGCCCCATATGGTCTCACATACGTAATTTTTCTGTCATCCTGCT